GTCTATTTTGGTACATTTGCTATTTTAAGATGTGCCTGAATTTTAGTAACAATTTTCCTGAAAGTCCTTCTAATCGGAAATAACAGTTTCAGTTTTTACAATGTGAATACACATAAAGTACTTGCAACCCATTTATTATCATAGTGGACCTTGCATTTATTAGATTTTATTTATTTTCATTCATTTAATTGAGCAGAGATTGCACTTTTGTAACATAGCAATAAAATGTTGATCCCTGGAAATGACTTTGAGGGAATTTTAGCATAGGAAGGAGTTTTTATTTATTTTGGATAACCTGTACATGTTATATTCCCTTGTGAAATTTCCTACTTCATTTGCCCTAACACATTTCTGTCTACTTTACTAATTAGCTCCAAGACATCCCTGAAAAACAGGAACATTGTGAAAAAGGCTGTTGATTCTTTCTGAACTAATGCAATCTGTTTTAAATACTTGAGCCCTTTGAACAGTGACCCCTAGTTCTATATTTCCTCATCGCAAGAAACATCCTCCCCATATGTGAAGACCCCGCAGGATTTTTGTTTCAATCAAGTCACCACTTTACACTTCTAAACACCAGCAGGCATGGGCCATGCCTGTCCATCATCTCTCTTTACAATACATATTCTATCTCTTTCTCTACAACACCTCCCCCGACCCCCCCCCCCCAACACCACCACCCACCTCTTTTTCCAGGTATTAGTCTAGCAAACCTTCTTTGAACTGCCTCCAATGCGTTTACATCCTTCCTGAAATAAAGTGATCAATACAGTGAACAGTACTGCAAATGTGGTCTACCAGTGCCCTGTATAATTTGAGCATAACCTGCCTACTTTTATATTCCATTCCCCTTGTGATAAAAGGTAACTTTGGTTAGCTTTTTAATTCCTTGTTGTACCTGCATATTAATCTTTTGCAGTTCATGCGTGAGAATCTCTGAGCTCTGCACTCCCTCTATTTAGATGGTTCCTTTTTTAGTCTTCCTGCCAAGATGGACAGTTCTACAATTTCCTACATTGTAGTCTATTTGACACATCTTTGAACATTAGGAAAAGAAATACAGGTTAAGTAATCTCCTTGTGTCCTGTTTCCTACCTACATTCATGTCATCAGTAACTTTGGCAAAGATACCTTCCTTCCCTTAAATTCATATAAATAATAAGCATTTGAGGTTCCAGCACTGTACTCATGGCACACCACTTGTTGTCTTGCCAATTTTAAAATGACCTATTCATGCCAACGCTCCATTTCCTGCTAGCCATCCAATCATCTTTGCATCCAAAATGGTAGCCTCTACACGATGAGCTTTTATTTTCCAAATAACCTCTTTGTGTTGCCTCATCAAATGCCTTGTGGAAGTCCAAATGCAATACATCCTCTGGTGTCCCTTTATTCACAGCAGATCTCCTCAAAAAACTCCAATTGTTGGCCAAGTAAGATTTCCCTTTCACAACACCATGTTGACTCTACCCAATTACCTTGAACTTATTGGAATTGCTTGCTGTTTAATAATATCCTTCAACAGTTTACTAGTGACAGGTGTTAATCTAATTGGCTTGTAGTATTGGGTTTCTGTTTTCCTCCCTTTTGGAAAAAAACATACCTATGTTAGCTATATTCCAAACTAATGGGATAATCCTCAAATCAATGGAGAGTTGGAAAAAATCAAATCAATATATCAACTATCTACATCTTTTTAAGGCATTTTAGTCTTGTCTCTACTCTTTGATTTATCATATCTTCCTAAGTTTGGTCCTTTTCCCCTACCATTTAGTTTAAAATTCTGTCTACAGCCTTAGTTATGTGGTTGGCAAGAACACTGGACTGGCTCAGATCATTTGGAGTCTGTCTAATCAGTGTACAAGGTCAGAAATCAGACGACACTAGGTTATAGTCCAACAGGTTTATTTGAAATCACAAGCATTTGGAGCGTAGCCCCTTCGTCAGGTGAAGTCAGACCGAAGCGCACAGCCCCAGAATTTATAGGCAGAAAGTTCAAGGGCAGAGAGACCAATAAAATCAGACAAAAGGTGTGATTGGAGTGTCGAATAATAAGTCTCTGCAGGTGATCAAAAGTGTCAGACGGTGTGAGTAAAGTGCCAACAGCTGAATAACGAGCAAAGGGATGACCTAAAATCGAATTAGATGAGGCACAGATAATTACAAAAAATTTAAAAGTAACGTGGTGCTGGAGAGAAGCTAACTGACCAGAATAACATGATAGGTATAAGAGTCGCATGTGATTCCACTTGCCCCAGTGTAGGTGCCAGTGCCCCAAAAACCAGAAACTACTTATCCCATGCTGTCTTTGAGCCACAAATTCATCTGACAAATTCACTTTGCCTTATCTGATTTTTGTGTCTCATGTACGATGTAGAATCACTCCCTTTGTCCTCCTTATGTCGTTGTTGCCTGCATAGATTATGACAATTGCTCCCTTCCTGTTCCGTGACAAGCTCCTCTCCAGCCTTGAGCACGAGTGCTGAACATGGCAGCTAATACAACTGAATGGACTAGCTCATTTTGGCACAGCGTACAGTGTCAATCCTCCTCACTATATTTTCCCTCTTGCCTCTACTACATTTTTTCTTACTCTTCCCTCTTGAATGACTTTCTGAACCATGGTGCCATAGCTAGTTAACTTATCCACTCTGTAAGCCTCATTGTCATCCAAATGAATTGCAAAGGCTGAGGATTCTGCCCATTAGGTCCCTTGCTTGCCTCACTTACAGGCCTACTGTCCTGCCCATAACTACTGATCAAATTAGATAATCCAACCTTAAGAGTTGACTACCTTCTGGTACAAAGAATCCAGGTAGTTTCCCCCTTCCACATGCATCACAATCTCTGTAGTTCAGCCTTCAGTTCATAAACTCTGAGATGAAATTCAAACACTCAGCACAGGCTTGTTGTTCGTGGCCAAAATAGTATCCAGAAACTTCCAAATTCTGCAGCTGTCATATCACTTGTCCCTCCGTCCTATTATGTTTAATTTATTCATTTTTTAAGTTATGGTATCTGCTTAATGAACTTTACCACTAGTTATAATGCCATTGCTAAACCTTAGGAATAGGATTGACCTTAGTCAATTACCAGAAACTCACCAAACCACCCAACTTTTCTTCCTGTAGCAAAATAAGAATCCACTTTTGAGGCTGAAAGCATTTAAACGGTGCAAAAACAACACCTCTTTCCCTTCCTCTCTGTAATTTCCTTAGTCATGTAATTTATTCACTCTTTTGTAAGTCACACTAATTTGGCTGTTTTGATAGGTATAAGAGTTGCATGTGATCTCACTTGCCCCAGTTTAGATGCCAGTGCCCCAAAAAATCAGAACCTACTTATCCCATGCCGTCTTTGAGCCACAAATTCATCTGACAAATTTGATTTGCCTTATCAGGTTTTCACGTGTCCCAGGTACAATGCCTGTTCGGACATATTCTGATGCATATCTGGGGGGGCTTGATCCTGGATCTCTTGGGTCAGTAGTAAAGGCACTATCATTCTGTCACGAGTCCTGTCAGCAGATTTTTTTTTTTGTAGGTATTCTCCAATTCCCTGTTCAGAGATGTCATTACATACTTCTGGAGTAAAATTTTCATAGAATGAAAGAAGTTACAGTACACAAGGAGGCCTTGCACGCAGGAGGCCAAGCAGCCCCATGTCTCCTATACCTCCATTTGCTCAAAGTCCTCCTTTTATTCCTTTGCCTTTTTAGATGCTGTTTAGTTTTTAACCTCAGCAGATTCTTCCAGTGATGCAACCTACTCATCACTTCCACAAGCCATGTTTCCCTTATCTGTTTTGTATTTGTGGTGATAGCTGTAGGCCTTCATTCCTTGGCCTTTCGTTAGCTTGGAGTGGTAACAGCCTTTTACTTAATCCACAATGGAGTTTAGGTTTTCACTCCTCTCTTTACTGGCTATTCCTTTTGTTTTTAGCGCTGCTTCCACTATCGGCTTGTATTTCCAGCTGTGTAGGAGTTGCTAGATTCAATGTCCGTATATTTCTGCCGTAAGCCTTTCCTCACAGTTTCTACCGTTCTTTGCTGTTTTTCTGAGATTTGAAGGATAAAGATTTCTCATGTAGCTCTCAGCAATGCATTAGGAAATCATCCCTTATCCCAGTAGAGCCCTGAACAATTCAGGAGGTTTGGTAACCCACTTTACACTGAGTTATTACTTCAGAGTAGCTGTTCTGTAGTTGCCATTACAATGTGGGGCTTTCCATGTCTCCACTTGATGCCATGACCAGGTCTGCTACCTAGTTTTCCATGAGCCTTTTGTTCTATTAGTGGTGAAATGCAAATATGACAACGTGATTTATGGAAGCATTAGTACTGGATCATCTTCACAAAGAGAACTGCCATCTCTGGAATGCAAAACCATCCAAGGATGAGACATTAAACCCAGGTCATGCAGGTTAAGGTAGTCATGGCTATATTTTAAATAGATCAGCGAGGTTTTCTTAGCATCCAAGACAAGGTTCTTCCTTTACCGAACAGTATTAAATAGTCTTTTTTGAGCACACATTTGCTGCTGGGGGTTTACTAGCACAACAAAACAACCAATGTATTACTTCAGAAATAGTTGAAGTACTTTAGGATGGCCCAAGGATGAAATCCTATAAAGCAGGTTCTTTATTGTTTGTTACCAATTTAGTGTTTTTGCATTTTTTGCAGATTAAAAATATAAATACTGTAGCTACAATAGCTAGGATGTCTGTGGCACAAGTTTGGAATGTGATGTAACTCTGCACTTGTCTGGATGAGTTCATCTCCAATAACACTCAAACTTCATACTGTCCTGGGCAAAGGAGTACAGTGATTAGCACCCCATTGACCAACTTTACATTCACTCCCTTTACCATTGAGTAGCCAGCAGCGGGTACTACCTATAGAATGTACATCTAGGTTCCATCAAGAGCACCTCCAAAACCTGTGATCTCTACCACCTAGTAAGACAAGGTCAGCAGATGCACTACTATCTGCAATTTTCCTTTCAAGCCACACGCCATCCTAACTTAGAACTATACTGGCATTCTTTCATAGTTGCTGTGTCAAAGTCCTGGATTCCCTTCCAAATAGCACCGTTAGTGTCCCTGTACCTCGAGGACTGCAATGGTTCAAGAGGCACCTTAGGATACTTAGGGATAGGCGATAAATGTTGGCCTAGTCAGTGGTGCCTAGGTACCATGAAAGAATTTTAAAAAGTAGATGTTCTGCTGATAAAACAGGATTCTATTTGGAGCAGGCGTTAATGCAATATAAACTAAACTGTGAGACACTGGCTTAATAATAAAACAGCATGCATGTAAATGAATTGTTATGGGAACACGCACAATATTTTCTGCACGTCTTCCTTTTACCAGGAGCATTCTGTTAACAAATCTTCTGTAGTGTTGCTCAAAATCAAAAATAAATGTCTTTCTTCATTATCTGCTTCTGCTTATTTCTTATACTAGAGTTTAGTTAGCTGGATGGCTGGTTTGCAATGCATAATGAAGCCAACAGCATTGGTTCAAATCCCAAATTGGCTGAGATTACCAGGAAGAATGCTCCTCCTTAACCTCTCCCCTTGCCTGAGACATGATGACCCTCGGATAAATAAGCACCAGTCACCTCTATAATGAGACCACGATCTTATGGTTTGGTAGGACTGTGGTGACTTTACCTTTTATTTCTTAATTTCACAATTTCATTTTCTGAAGAAGGGCCTAGGCCGGAAACGTCAGCTTTCCTGCTCCTCTGATGCTGCTTGGCCTGCTGTGTTCATCCAGCTCTACACCTTGTTATCTCTTCCATCCATTGACTCCATCTATACTTCCCACTGCCTTAGGAAAGCAGCCAACCTAATCAAAGACCCCTCCCACCCTGGTTATACTCACTTAGACCCTTTTCTATTGGGCAGAAGATACAGAAGTTTGAAAACAAGTACCAAATGATTCAAAAACAGCTTCTTCCCTGCTGTTATCAGACTTATGAACAGACCTTGCCTATATTAAAGTTGATCTTTTTCTGCACTTCCTCTGTAGCTGTAATACTATATTATGCATTTAGCCTGATGTACTTGTGTATGGAAGATATGATTTGCCTGGATAGTACACAAAACAATACTTTTCACTACATGTCAGTACATGTGACAAGAATAAATCAAATCAAATAAACTGTAGTTATGCATTCAAAGTGAACAATTGACAGTCAAGTCAGGAGTATTGGCAGTGAGAGGAGTGGAACCAATCTAATCTTTGGTTTAAATGTGAATGGAAGATTCAGAAAACAAATTGAAAGACTCCATTACTGAGAACAGTTATTGAGAATGGATAAAGTTTCAACTGCTGTTGTAACAATTTTTACATTACAGAATTAGTTATTGCAAAGTGATTCTTATGCTGTTTATCAAGTTCTCTGTTCAGTTTTAAAGATCAAAGGAAAAATGCGAGAAGCCCCTTTACCAAGTGAAAGTTGAACGTTACTGAGAGCTAGAATCTCCATGCATTTTGAGCTGTTCGCATTGGGCCAGACAAAATTGTTGCTTGCACGAATATATCCTACATATCAGTCTTTTGTTGCTTTTTGCAATTGTTGAGCATCATATTAAATCATTTGAAAACCTGAAATAATACTGGTGCTCAGGGAGAAGTGGATTAACAGGATAGGATCCATTCTCTTTGAATTACCTTGTACAATATTTTAGCGTTTAAGCTGGTTTATTTGAGACATTGCATTCCAATAATGAGCTGGCAGTGATTGCAGCCAACAACATTTAATTTTGAAATCATGCAATTCACACTATTTGACTGAGAAACTATGGTTTGGTCAAATTATAAGGCCATATAGTAAGACACAGTTTAAGCTTGACTCAGTTCATACTGTTTTGCTTTAATGTAGTTAACAAAACAGTGATAACTAACGTATTTGTCTAATGTTGCAAGTTTTAATTTAGAAGTGCTCGCCAGGCTTTCTGTTCTGTGGCTTGTCAAGACTTTTTCCTCATACTTTTACTGTCATTCTCAGTCTCAGGCCTTTGTTCTGTTCCTGCCAATCCCATCCATACCAACATGGCTCCCGTTTCCGACCTCTGTCCTTACCTTTCAAGTCTGCAATACCTGCTTTGGTCCTGATTGCGATCCTGAATTTGCACTGAAGTCTTGGATGCTACCTAGTGGCAGAGGTTGGTTGTTGCAGGTGATCCTGCATAACTAGCTTTTTCATTGGATTGAACCTGGCCAACTAAAATTTCTTCAGGGGAGTATAGTTTCAATAGATATGGCATTGGTAGTATTGATATTGAAATTGTACCTGTACCTTTTTAGATTTATTTTATTTTGGAAGTTATTTTTATGAATGTATTTATTCAAGAATGCATACAATTAGAACTTAACGTTTTTGTTGTCTGCTGAGAAAGGTTGTGAAGTACCTAACTGAACAGTTTATTTTATGATTACTGATTTATTTTGTTTTACAAATTATTTTAACTGAGAATACATGGTCCTGCACATGTATGGTACAGTGTCTCAGTCTGCTTTTTCCAAGTTTAGGAAAAAAGTGTCTGCAGAAACTGGACCCTGGCTTTGGCAATGATTCCTATGGAAAGGGTAGCTTTATTTAAAATTTTCACTTAATCATCATTTTCAGGAATGCAACCACAAATTCAAGTGAGAATTTACTGTATTTAAATAAAAACTCTTCTAAGGAAAGGTCACTGGATCCAAAATGTTAACTCTGATTTCTCTTTGCGGATGCTGCCATACTTGCGAACTTTTCCAGCAATTTGTTTTCATTTCTCATTTACTGTATCTGTTTCCTTTCACAGAGGAGTAGAGGTCAGAAACGAAAAAGGGGAACCAGCTCTGATGGAGAAAAAACTGAGGTATGTGTTTACTGAGAAGCACAATATTTTAATGTGATACACAAATATTTTTTACAACTGGTGTTTTACCTTCGTATTGTTTCATAGGAACCAATTCCTCCTAGAGCCAGAAGACGACGACAGACC